ACGCCGCCGACAGGGCAGGTCAACGGAGGTGCCGCGGCGGATCAGTCTCAGTCACAGCAGCCGACGCCGCCGAAGCGTATATCTGGGTCGGGCGTCTCTAGCCTGCTCAACAAGTTCAACAGTGTCGGCAGCGGCGGTGGCGGCGGCGGTAGCAGCAGCAACGGTGGCGGCGGCAGCGGCGCTGCAGCCGCATCTGGCATCCCTGCAGCCCCGGGGACAAACCCCGGCGGCGCCAACGGTAGCGCCAATAATACCTCGACAGTACCGGAGTACGGCATGGGCGGGCCGGCAAGTCGTGTGCCAGCAAGTGCCAAGATCGCCGCCATGCGCAGCGCATATGAGAAAACGAAGCAATGACTCGCACTGGGTTGCCTGAGCAATCCCAAGGAGGGTGGGTCCCTTGGGCCCTTGTATGGCAGCGGGAGGCCCTCGGGGGGTTGTCTGCAACCTAACATGAGCTTGTGTATTCGTCTAGCGATGGGTTGCGTTCATTGCGGTAGCAGCGGCGTTGGGTCGTAATTCGGTTGTCGCGGCGGTTGTAGCAACGGTTGTAGCGGCGATTTACCTACCTATGCAGCGAGCAGCGGGGCAGTAGTGCTTATGGCAGTGGGCATCATCAATCACATAAAAGTAGGTCGTTTCTGAAAGGGCGGACCAAAGACGGGGCGTGAGAGCGAATGAGAGGCCCTCGCTAGTGCATTGGTGCACTCCATTTAGAGAGGGTTGAGCTGAGCCGAGCTGCAAGCAGGGGTTGGAAGGCAATCTTATTAGGTTGGCATTACGTTGATCATCACCTTATTAGCGCGCCATTACCAGTGCAAAAATTCGTGTCTGACCTACACATATATATAAGTCCGTGCGGGTACATGTTTCTACCCGGGTGGTTATAGCATGGACCACTCCTTTCGATTGCTTGTGTCCTGAGTCTTGATTTTATAGTATTTGACCTTCACTGGATCTTTTATGACCGTGTTTTATATCACCGGTCGCTGGGGCATGGCTTGTATAGGTTCGTGACGGCCTAAAGCCCCTCGCCCTTCGCTCAAGGCACTCGTCCTTCATGGCAGCAATCCTGCCTGATCAGGCAATTGACAGAAATGAGTTGCGTAAGAAAGAATTTGAGACTGGTTTGTCACGATGGCGACTTGGACAGAGCTTCAAAGTTGGTTGTTAGCCTGTTAGTTCGTTGTTGGTGGTTGTTGGCAGGCGGGACACGTTTGTTGTTGCTTGGAAATTGTCTAATGTTGGAACTTGGAAGTTGTCGCGCTTGATTCTTGGCGCTGCAGGCTTGATGATATTAAGGGTTCCTTGCAACGTTGGTTTATCTTTTTGTAGACCAAGATTGCCCACCCGGTATTTGTTGTTATTTGTTGCTTTTGCGACATTACGAATATTAACGTTTTTTTCCGGTTACGAATGATGTCGTTCCGACTTCGTTTGAATGAAAATGTCGTTGGCCCCGTTGCGCGTGTGGGGAAGAGTTACATTACGTCTCACGTTAAGGGATCTAGGTTCTTTACTGCTGATCTCTTACTCTGCCACATGCCACCTCCCAGCCCAGCGCCGCGCAGCAAACAGCTAACATAAAAAAACAAACCTAACGCCAACCTGTTTATTTCACTCGCTCCAAGTACGCTGGTATTGTAGTAATCCCAGCCGGCTCGTGAAAATTCAGGATTCAAAGCTGTGCCTTGGGCAAACGGGCTTGGAGTAATAGCCAAAACGTGCTGTGAGACACTACGGCTGCCTTTCCTCTCTTCGTGGCTGGCGAGAGAGCGTGTGGTCTTCCCTCGCCTTTCAGCCTCTTTCTGTTTACCTCGGGTGACTTGATGGTGGGATGGATGGAGGAAGGAAGTCAAGTAGGTTGATGATGATGATTTGTGTCGGTCTCTTGACTTTGAGATGTGTCGGTCTCTGACTTTGAGAGGGCCCTGGAATGCCTAGGAATGCTTCCAGGGGCGTTTGCTGCGGTGTTGAGGTGTGTGTGCCTGGGAATGCCTGTGTCGGGCATGGACTAGAACCTAGAACAAAGCATGTGGGTCTCGTCCAGTTGTGTGTGTGTATGTTGTGTAGAGTTGGCCTTGTTAGACGTAGAAAACACTGGAACGGCCGTGCGTTGGTTGGCAACGGTGTGCCGCAGATTGCGTTTGTTATGTATGTAGGTGGTTGTTTAGGTAGCGATGGGGTGTATAGTTACTAAAGGCACCAGAGGCGGCTACCTTCCGGTGGCTGCCTGCCTGGCACTTCATCCTGGGGAAGAAGGGACGCCACTTGGAGGGAGTGGCGCGCGAAAAGAGATCCGCTGCAGGGACTCTGTTGAACTGAAGGGGGAAGGTAGGAGAAAGAAAGGTGAGGAGACTCTGCGGTCAAAGAGGGAAGGAGAGGGCAGAGCTGCTTCGGTGCTTTGGTATTCAGGAAACCGAACACAGCGACGCAGGCAGTGTTGTTGTCACCGTCGCACTGGCGTCGCACGTTGCTTTGTTCCACGTTGTAGTGTATTATTTGTGTGGCTAGGAACAGTTGGTAGTGGGGTAAAAGGGTCAGGGTTGCATGGTTGCCGGGGTTTCGGTCTGTTGCCAAGTAGTGGCGGGCAGAAGAGCCGCACGGTTGTTGCTGGGAGGTATACAGCTTTAGTGATTGCGAGCCCGTGTGTGGGGGGGGAACGTTCATGGCTGTGGAGCTGTTTGCTATATAAATGATATGATGCATCCATGATGGGTTTTAGGGCAGAGGAAGGACAGGCAAAGCAGGACAGGATTGAAGCCTGGGTCGGAACGGTATCCGTACCACTGGTGTGGAACCCTGGAGCATGGGACGAGCATGTGTCCTGTCTGTCAGCTATTACACATGTGTATGTTGTTGGGAGAGGAGTGTAAAGCAAAGGGCGGACCCAGGCAACGTGGACGGAACATATATCGTTTCGTGTTAACAGACGATGCGTGTACTGTACCGTTGTACTGTTTTACCGGTGTTTGTGGAACCGACGGACCATAGAATTGGTATACACATACTTCACGCTGGCACGCGGGCTTCGACGCGCTGGCGTTACGTGTTGCGGGACCCTGGCGAGATTTAGTCCTGTTTTTCAGGTCCAGGCGGTGGATGTCCAGCGGTTGTGGGTTTTGCTCCGGTGTGAAACGCAGTTTTTTAACTAGGAGCCGTCGGAGTTGAGGGCCAGTCGCAATTCCATCTGTGATCACTGTTGCGCGCCGGGGGGGTTGCGGGTGCGCCGACACGCCGGACTGTAAATTTGAACTACTTTCGGAGCGCTCCTGCCCTGGACCAATGGACTACGTGCACACGATTGCTCAACCTGTTACTAGTTAGATGTTTAATTTATTAACAGCTGTTATGATACTTATGGTTTTGTCAAGGCAGGGTTAACGGAGATCAACGCCTGAAGGTTTCCCTGGGAGCTGCAAATTCAAACGCTGTTGGTAGGGAGGGTACTCAAGGGTCGTTAGGCGTTAAATGCTAAGGTGAGACTTGACGAGGGTATTAGGTGTATCACGCATGCACCGCATTGTCGACATGTTCGACAGCGTTTGCGAAGCCATGTTACTGAACCGTCCGAGTTCATCGCGTTCGGAGCGTATATGTTGCAGAGCGTGATCTTTTTTTACAGGCTGAGGCATTATGCTGGTTTTCCGCTGTCCAGTCCGGCCTTGCGCCCGCGCTTGTACAGAACGGTCAAGTGGGAAGGCGTACGGCTCAGCCCCCCACTTAGCGCACACGGACTGGGACAGCGGCCTTGATGGCTATTGGAGAACTGAGACAGCCTGAAGATGTGAGGGTATATAGCTTGGAACATCTTCTAAAAGTGAGAAGGAGGGGTGTTGTACGGCTTCACAAGGAAGTTACCTAGTCTGGCGTTTATGCGCAGAATTCTCCACAGTCGTGACCTTCGCTATCATTCAATAATTGTCTTCGCATTGAAATTATTGTTCACGCCTTTTTAACTCTGTTTACATAAAGCGAGCCGGTATATACGGCGTTCCTTCCTACGTAAAGGCAACTTGCTGATGCCTCACGAAAGATAATGAACCTGCTTTACAGCCTGACGTGGATATCGTTATGCCACTTCACTGCTTTTCCAGCGTCCGTGAGCTAGTTCAGCTCGATTAGGTGCCTCTGAACGCTACGCTGCAAACGACACTCACATACAGTGCTTGCAAGGCGATTGGAAAGATGGCGGAATCAGCACAAGGTACACAGCTATGCTGAGGGCGTGTAAAGCCTTTTTCGTCTTAAAAGCGTGTTTGAGGCGCCATTTAAGTGCCAACAGGTTTGCTCTACTCTATGGGCATTGTTTCGGCGCTCAGGGTAACAAGATCTTTATACTCTGCACAAGCACAACAATCCTTAGCTGGTTGGGTTTGACGACTCTCAAATTAACGGGTTAATCTTCTGTCGGTCCTGTCCAAGCAGACGTGCGGCGCATGGCCCTTGGGGTTATAACATCACGCCTAATGGACGGCCGCCAGTTGATGGACGAGTTCCGGTCGGTATTGGGACGTGACCCTACCATTCGGTTCTCGCAGGCGGCCGCTCATGCGTCGTGCAACCAGAATAAGAACAGGTGTGGCTGGGTGCCATGCGTGATTGGCAAGCGATGCCAAACGTTTACCAATTCAGGACTCAGGACTCTATCGGGTGGGTTGCCGCGCCGATGGAAACCCACAACCTTCGTGCCTCTGAGCGCAAACTAGGAACCAGTCATCGAAGCCCCTGAATGACCCTCCGCTCTTACAAATCATTGTGTCTTGTGTGTCTTAAAATTGGGGGGTTGACTGGGCCGGCATGGTTCATGCCAATCTGCCAAACATGCAACAATTCGCCGTCCTGGATTACCCAACCCAGTCGCCACGTCGGGTCTCGCTCTTTTAATGCCTCTGTGTTTTACATCTCCCTTCACCCTAACCCCTCCCCCTCTACCTCATTCGAACTCGTCACCCGCTCTTCCACTCCCACCCCGCCTTCCCCCCCTCTCCCTCCCGACCCGACACAGATACAGCAACGTCCTGCCGTACGATCTCAACCGTGTTATACTGCAGCCCTGTAGCTGTAGTGACGGGGCCAGAGGCGCCGTCGCAACGAACGGCTGCGCCGCAGGCACAGCTGTCGCTGCGTTTGAAAACAGAGGTCGCACTGCATCTTCAGCGACAGCAGCACCTGCACCGCAGCAGGGCTCCCCGGATCCTACCTACATCAACGCGAGCCACGTAATCCACGATGACGCGCAATGCGGCTTCTCTGTTCGTTACATCGCATGCCAAGGTCCGCTACCCAGCACGGAAGCGGACTTCTGGCGCATGTGTTGGGGCGAACGAGTGGGAGCGGTGGTAATGCTAACCAATGTCGTGGAGCGCGGCATCAACAAATGTTCCACATACTATCCTGCGCAGCCCGGAGCTCGCCTAGTACTGCGTGGCGGCGGCGGCGGCGGCAGTGGCGGGCTTGAGAAGATGCCTCCGTCAGCGGCAGGGTCGGCGGCGTGCGTGGAGGAGGTGATGGCTGTATCGTCTAGTTCACTACACGCGGGCGAATTGACGTACACTGTATTGCGACTATCATGTAGCGGCTGTGGCGGCGCGTCGTCACGTGATGTGACGCATCTGCAGTACAACGCCTGGCCGGACCACGGCACACCCGCGGACGCCTCCGCCATCCGTACAATGTGCGATATGGTCGAACCGGTGCGTGGCGCCGGGGGGGCCGTTGTCGTACACTGCAGCGCTGGCATTGGCCGTACGGGCACGTTCTGCGCCATCGACATAATGCGCCGCCGACTAGCATACCTGGAAGCCTGCGCTGCGTCGCGGCCTGGAAATGTACGGGCCGATGCCGTACAGGCTGCGCTCGATCTTCCGGAGCTCGTACACTCCCTACGACGGCAGCGGTCGGGAATGGTCCAAACCATTGAGCAATACGTGTTCTGCTACCAGGCTATTTACGAAGAGCTGCTTGCGTCGCTTAATGGTACCGCCGTCGGGGGCGCGGGCGCGGGGGCGGGCGGCGGCACGAACCGCAGCGGCGGCGGCACTAGAGCCGGTGGTGGCGCTCGCACTCCCACCCGCCAAGTGCGGCGGTAGCTGGCGCTGCTGACAAACTCACGCTGGACCTTGCCACACCGCCGTTGTTGTACAAACACGCCGGACCTTGCCACACCGCCGTTGTTGTACAAACACGCCGGACCTTGCCACACCGCCGTTGTTGTACAAACACGCCGGACCTTGCCACACCGCCGTTGTCGTACAAACTCGTGTTGGTTAAGGAGGACGTGGGGGTTGAATCGTAAAAGGCCCAAGTCAGGGTCCCCATACGGGGACATGTATGGAGATGGGGCAAGGGAACCCCTTTAGGTTGGTTTGGATTGGGGGATACGGGTTGAGTCGGAACAGAGGTAGAGGAATTAACTCATTGCGCCTGACACACGCACGTACGGTCGGTCAGGGGCTTTCGATCCATATATCCGTTTTTCGACCCGCTGTTGTGACCCAGGACAGTTCCTTTTTGGGGTTTGGGGGGTTTGGCTCCGCTCCGCTCCCGGTGGTGGTAGCGCTCCCTGGAGCCCTTCCCGCACATGGTACCCTGGGCAGAGGAGCACCACCCGGGGGCCATCGGACGGGAGGGGCGGCGTTGACGTCGGTGTGATGTCTTGGTAATGATGATGGCGGAGAAGCAGCGAAGATGCTCGGGAGGGGGGTTAGCAGGGCTGCTGCGTTCTTGTTTGGTTGGTGCTCACCATAGGCTCCACGTTGTGTTTATATGCCTGTATGTCTGCATGTTTGTTTGTCTGTCTCGCGCCACATCATCATCGCAGGTGTGTGGGGGGGTTATGTGGAGGCCAATTGTCTCGCGCGGCGCGGCGCGGCGCGGCCCAAAACAAAGTAATGAATGTTATGAGAAGAAAGTTAAAGAATGAATGCTCTGGATGCTGCTCTGCGCTGTGCGCTGTGCGCAAGTAACTCGCCTTGCCCCACTACTGGAACGGGATTTGGGGACCACCCGGCGAATCAGGATAAATTTACCGCACAGCCTGCGTGTATTATTACTGCTCAAAAGAGTGCTGTTGTTGTTGCGGAGCTGTGTAGTGTCCGTTTTTAATACTTCTTAGTGATGTGTTGATGATGATGATGATGATGTGTTCGTTCCCCAAATCATGAATCGATCAATAGGTGTATTGGGATTTGGGGGTAAAAGCGGGCGGGTAAAGGTGATGGATACTTTATAGAAAATAGGGAAGTCATTGGCTTCAAAATAAGAAATCTCGCAGAGCAGAGGTAATGGAAATATGGGAGATGGAGAAGTGTATTGCCAGGCATGTTGTAAAGCTGCGGAAGTCCGAGTCGCGTTTGGGTAGAGGCGTGCGCGCGCGGGGCAGTGTGGTTTGGGCAGTGCAGTCATGGTGAACGGTTTGGGCTTCCGGTGGAGCGATTTAGGGAGACGTGTTGGGACATATGCAAATGCATGTGGCGGATTCCTCCACGGTTTGAAAGAGCTTTGTCTGACTGTGAAGAGCTTTGCGTGTGTGAATGTCCCCACACAGTGTCCGTGTGTATTCACGTAGGGACACGCATCTGGCCATCGAGTGGCTGTCCAGCTTTACGTCCAGCCATGTGTGCATGTGTGTGTGCATGTGTATGTCTGTGCATGTCTGTGTATATCTGTGTATGTGTGTGTGCTAATGGTCTTCGGAGCCGCGATGAGGGAACTGCCGATGGTGGTACGGGTACACCGGAGGACACCGCTCCACCGGAGCGAGCTCTCCGAACAGTCAGTCAGTCACCACTCGTGTTAAGACTTTTCCAATGAATGAAACTGTTGTGTGGCGTGAATCTATCAGGTAGCCGTTGGTAAGAAGAGTGTGATGTCAAGAGCCCGAAGAAATAAGCGGAGGCGCTGTCATGGTGACTGATAGGGTGACTCGGTGCGGTGCGGTGGGTGGCTGGAAGTGTGCGTGTGTGTGTGCGTGTCACATATCGATCCGGGCTTGGCACTGCCGGGGGTGTGCTGCACCACCTTGTTGGTTGCGCTGTGGTGATCCAAAGGTGCTCCAAAGGTGGCGCTGGACGTTCCGTGTGGTGGTGGGTTTCCTTCTGTCTGAGACCCCCCCCGTCCATTACTTGTGTGTTGTGCGGCACCCCTCCTCTGTCTTCTTTCCAGTTTGAGGATTGCCTGACGTGTCCGAAACCTTTTCCTCCCGGTACCGGTGCCGAGGAAATATGATGACACCCCCCATTGAGGTGTAGGTGTGGGCATGTGTGGCTATTATATCTAGGCAAGCTGTGCTGTGCTGGATATTAAAGTGGCCCCAAACCCCCGTCCTCTTTGAGTCGCGGCCTCCATCACCACACACAGAAGATGGTGAAGTGCCAGAGAACGCACACGCCCTGTAGAAGACTTTTGGACAGATGACACGCAGTTTTCAAATGTACCTGATCCAGCAGTTTCCTGGAGGGTACCTGACACGCGTTGTGTACATCTCTTTACGTATATCTTACCTTTTGTGTTGGCGGCAGTGGGGATGATGGCCGTTACGCGTTTGTTGCTGTCGTTAGAGTTCGCAGACGATCGACTCTCTTACCCACCTACCTGAGCTCCCCGAGGATTCCGCCTGCTCGGTATGCACGTGTCATGCTACTTTGGTATATTCTTGGTCACCAACCATCGAGGGGTGGAAGAGGTCGTGGGGTAGGGTGGGAAGGAGGTAGGTAACCAGTGCATGTGCGGGGTGGGGCGGCCCATGTGCTGCACGATGTTATGGAGTTGGTCGAGAAGCGTGGGGCGGTTGGGAGGAGGAGGTCCCGTGGGGTCGTTGCAGCTAAGCGTCTCCCGAAGGGGAAGTGCGGATTACACGCGGTCTTCCCGTTGCATGTGGGTGGGTGGGGGATTTCTGCGGGTGTCGCGCTCCTGCATTGGGTACTTTTGCGTATGCGAAACGGCCTTTGTACACGTGTGTGCTTAGGGCGCGGGATCGACTAATGATGGAGTTGGAGAGTTGTTTGCTACTTTTGAGCGCTTCCGCATTTTGTGTGCACGTGTGTGTGTCTGTGTTTTTGCACCTTTCTCTCCATTTGGCCAATCATCACCGCAGATGCACCAGGTCTCAGGTGGTGTGTAAGAGTTTCTGTTTGGGTAATCCCCGGGAAGAAAGCTATAGCTGAATACTTTCTCGACGGTTATTTGTGCTGAGTTTGCTTGTGTGGTTGTACAACTGTACGATTGTCCAACTTTGCATCCTCAGTAGAATCTCCGAATGGTCGTGTTGAGGGGTGCACAGTCCGTGGTTTTAATTACGTACTAGCTGCCTGTCCGCGAAGGCATTTCAAGGACCTTCCGGGGAAGTTTGTGTTAAGAGGCATATGCGTGCGCGTGCGGGATTTCTGTACAGGGCCGATTAGGCCTAATAACCTCGCTGCGGCGGAAGGTAGGACGTAAGAAGGTATGGAATGGAGATGCAGGCCGTACTCTACGGGGCAATTTGTCACGGCAAATAGTAATGAGGCCTCTTTGTACGACGCTTCGCGTGTGTTATTAGGTCTGTATGTACTCTTTGGTGACACACCTAGACACATCATGCAGTCCGCATCTTTAGGTTGATAGTCGTCTGCCATCGCTGGGACTTCAGCCCAACGCATGCTCAAATGGTAGTCGTACAAAAGATGATATGGAAGATGATGAAAACGTTGCTAGCAGAATGTAATTGTTAAGATAGTTACGATAATGGCGTTATATGGATAGAAACGACTTGGCGGTGCGGGCTCAACAAACGGGAAGCACTTAACCTGCGGGTGTGGTTCGCCTGCCATTCATGTCATGAGTATGAAAGATATAGAGGTAAGACAAAGAAAGGCAAGTGAAAAAGGAACGGGCTGTTCCAGGGAATGGCCGAGATGAATGGCCCCCTAAGGCCGCCTGGTGAGGAGGGAAAGGAAAGCCGGGGCCTGGGAAGGGGCCTGGAAGGTGGCTCGGCGACTGGCGAGATGCAGAGAGGAGCGGCTCGCTGAGCTGGTGCTGCGGCGGTCGGAAAACGTGCGTGTGTAATGGTGTATTGGTTGCCATCAGCCATGAATTCATTGTGGCGGTTGTGGGTACTCCTGGGGGAGAATACCTGTGCTACAACGAAACGTCAATATGCGGCGTGCTGCTACTTACCAGGCAGGATACCGCATTTAAACACCGTGAACCAAGCCTGCAACGTCTACAGATAAAACCCGGGGTGCATCTGCACTATCCACACTGATCCACACACTTAACAGAAAGTATCTACGTAATGAAGGAATGTGTTTCGAGGCGCGCGGTCCACTGAAGCCAGGATATGTAACAATTCTCAGCCACATGCACAGAGGTGCCGTACAGGTTCCAGACGGCTACAATACGTTCCAGATTTGACAGCAGATGACTAGCGGACCCTTCCCTGCATAGATGCTTAGATAAATACATGTGTACATACAGTACATGTACGACCATAGCGGCTTCGACATGTACGTCAAGCGCTCCGTGTAGCCAAGCTCTCCGATGTCCACTTGCCGCAGCACCGATACCACACCTTGCACAGCATCGCACTCGCTGTGACCAGCTGCATGCTCTCCCCTTTACACCGGCTGGTGCATATGCTGCTTCAGCAACTCGGTGCATGCAGGGCATGGCTTGCCATCCGGCATGGCGGCCACACGGCAGAGCGTGGAATACAGGCAGGCAGTCTCAACATAGAAAGCCAGAAGCCCCTGTGCGGCCTCCTGTGTTGGGTGAACGTTGTCCAGTGGCTGACAGGCAGTTAACCTCAATATACCTACCCCGAATAATGGGACCAATAACAACCCTCCAGACAAATCTAGCAAAAACCCAAATCCCCAATGCGCTCTCCAGAGAACCAGGTCACACCTTCAGTGCGCCATGCTCCCTCGCCAAGCACAGGCGTTCTCCGCACAGCCAGCTGCAATGTCAGATGCGTGCAGGACACCTTGCATCACGCAGCTGTACAGGTGTTCATATGCAGCACCACACCACACCACACCACACCACACACATTGGCACAGGAGCCGGCATTTGATATATGCTAGTTAGGGATGTGAGATTCAGCTGAATGGGGATTTGGCAACCTTAATTACGTAAGCTTAAAAGCGTAATATAGTAAATTACTGTAATTTACGGTTTCCACGGCCTGGACCCTGGACCCTTAATTTAAGGTTGCCGTACTAGTGTACGATTTTGGATTTTCAGCACAATTTCAGCGTTTTCACATTCGCAACACCATTCTTTACTTATTTACATATTTTTGACATCAGTTTGGCGCTTGTACAGCCGACTTGGCGACTATCGCCTTTCCAATTTGAACCATGGCTGACGCGTGTTGACTACTTGACTTGCTCTTTTGCTTGGTTGGGCGGAGGGAATCGCGGGTTTCAACCTGCATTGTTGGACTCTTTCACGCTTCCCCCATGGCTGGGTTTGTGGTGTGTTCGGAGGAGTGGACGGGTCAGCAGCACCCTGGTTTGCAGACCGGCGGAACCTGTAAGACCCATGGGTCTGTTAAGCTTTTAAGGTTTCTACCCCTCCTGAGGGACCTTATTACGGCGAGCCCTTAATTCTGTAAATTACGACCAGGTCCAATCTTAATTATGTAATTACGTAACCTTAATTCCTAAAAACGTAAAAACGTAAAACGTAAATTCCCATCCCTAATGCTAGTGCAGCATCCGTGAAGAGGCGGCCCTCGGGTGGTGGTCTGTTACAGACCCGAAACCGATGGGCACCACTATGTGCCTCATGAAACAATTTTGACATGTGATGTCGAGCCAATAATGTTAACATGCACGCATAACAATAATAGAAACATTCCGACATTTACCAGTCAGTATTTAGCCTACATGTTGGCCATAAGAATGCATGCCGCCAACCACAGCAGTGTGAGGTTCAAGGGACGGGCTCCCAAACGTGTGTGTGGGGGGGATCACTTACTGCAGGGTTTATAGTTACAGTGTACAAGCAGCAGACGTTGTCCAACCATCCATTCGCCGACAACACATCACACCCATGAAAGAGGACCTGCATCCACTCCTCCTCTCATCATCCCAGCGTCCTTTTGCCGTTTTCGTACCCTGCGGAAATCTTCAGCTCAAGCTTCCAACCATGAAAACCGCTTCTCCCGCGACATGCTGTACCACGCGACATACAGATACGAATCGTACGAACCTTCGCTTCAAATCATTCCACTTTAGTTTCATCGCACCTAGCCTCACGTTGCCGCTGCTGCTGCCATGTTTTTAATGCTGCTGCTGCTATTGCTGCCATGCCATTACGTGAAGTCTTAACATGCCGGCCGACGCCTTGCCACCTCACCGCTAGCGGCGAGGATGTTGCTTACCCAGTTATCTTTTCGCAACTTAGCCCTACAAAATGCTCAGCATCCAAGCTTGCGTGCTCTGCAAGTCTGAACGTCTGATGCGACTGTCCTGGAACACCCTCAATGACCACACCTAGCTACCAGCTGCCTCTACAGCTATACCGGCAGCGCTGGAGGCTCAAGTAGTGGTCTTGCAGTTGTGGTGGTTAGGCATCCTCGATCTTGACACCGGTGCTCCGGGCGATGACCGATGTAATGTCGATACCCACCTGCGACAATAAATCGTTAGAAACAATGCCAGTAGCAGTAGCTGTAGCAGTAGTCAAGCTGCGTCACCTCGCTGCACTTCCTTAAAGTCGCAAAACTTTTTCCCGATGGCAACACACAACCCCGCGCTTAATATTAAGTTGCTAGTGCCTCAATACTCCCAAGACTCCCGTCTATCGGCACTCACACACAAACGCCCCCAACCCCTTACTTGTAGCAGCTTCTGTTCCGTTGCACCTCCACCTCGAGCACCAGTCATGACTGCATGGATGCGGTCGTTGATGTCCAAATCCTTGGCAATCTGATAAAAGTAGAGGGACATGAGGAATAGGTACCGGTAACGAGGAAAAAAAAGAAAGGCGGTGAGGAAGGAAATGTGGAAAGTGTAAGTAGGAAGGTCACGGCAAGAACTCACACGCACTCGCCCCGGGGCCATTTTCCCCCCCATCTCCCCCCCATTTCCCCCCCACCTGGCAAAGCTCCCCCCCACCCGCCATGAGCAATGTCCCCAGCGCCACCAGGCAGCGGTACACTCCTTCGGACTCCTCCAGTGGTGAAGGACTGGCGGCCAACAGCTCCAAGCCACATGACAACACCTGAAAGGACGGTAGCCCGGGGGCCAGGGAGGGGTGGTATGAGGGGGGTATGACCCGTAGATAGGAGGGAATACACGGGAGGGTATGTTACGTTTATGTCTGTTATGTTATGTTTATGTCTGTGCATATATATAATTGTGCAAACAAGTAGGGGACGGGAGGCCGCGTCAGGATCCGGCGCCGCGTAATAACCTTGTCGGAGAAGAGGTTCAGTATCATTTGCTCGGCTGCTCTGTCCAAAACTCGCGCAGCAGAAGCAGAAGCAGCAACGCAACTCACACGGCTGTCACACACGGCTGCAGTTGTCTGCTGTTCATCAATTGCCCTTAAATTAAACTGAATCTGGCGATGATGCCGATGATGCCTTGGGGTCTAAGGAAACTGGCTGCTTGTGTTTCACGGAGTTTTGGTGAAGGGCCTTACGGACACTGGAATGAGGTTCAGCTGCCGAGGGCCCTTACACACCCTCACACCGGCGGGGCATGGCGGCACAGGGAATCCGTTCATAAATCGTAATAGGACCTAAAAATGTTTTACCCTTCAAGACAGACCGGCGGGGCAGTTACATACATACATACAGGCAAGACCCGCAAACACGTAATAATACAAAAACAGGGCCATACATACAAACATACAGACAGATGGGAAGGCACGCCAAAGACATATGCACACACACATATATTCGAAGGAGAACCCGGTTATGTGGCCATCCTTAGACCATCATTACACACCATGACCACCACGAACCACCAACACACAAATGGCCAATTCCCCCCTACCTACCTACCTTCCTAGCTATCTACCTCCTCCCCCAAACCCCCAATCCCCCACCACCACACCTACGCAAGTGCGTTCACCTGTAGCGGTACGTCTCCGGATTGCGCCGAACTAGCCGGCAGCTGCTTAGACCCCACCGCCGCCGCCAGGTTGGCCAACAACACCGCCCCACTAAGCCGTACAGCCTTGGTGGCGGAGGCGGCAGACGCCGTCAGCAGCGGCGCCAAGCGGTCCAGGAGGGGTGACGCCGCCCCCAGCAGCCACTGCCGTAGCGACGCGGCGCGAGAGGCGGCGGCGTTGGCGGCGAGACGGAGGGCGAGCTGGTGGTTAGCCGCCAGGGAGGACGTGGCTGCGGCGGCAAGGGCCCCTGCCAGGGTGCCTACGCAATGGAAAGGAAGATGGTGTTCAATCTCTACATGCATACATGCATACATACACGCATACATATACGCATACATGCATACATACACGCATACATATACGCGTACATGCATACATACACGCATACATACACGCATACATACATACACAGCCGCCGACTACCTGCTGGCGGCTCCGCCATCGCGAGGTCGCCCGCCGTCTCCGGCGCCGCCAGCAGCTCCCCCCCGCCGCCGGGCGCCCCGTCCAGAGCCACCAGCCGGGCGACATCCAACGCCGGAAACAACTTGTCAGGCGGCCACGTCAGCAACCTCCGCAGCAAAGACACGTCACCGGAGGTTATGATGGGGCTCCCCGCAGCAGTAGCAGCAGAAGTAGTAGTAGTAGTTGTAGTGGCGGCAGTAGCAATCTTGGGCAGCTTTTGAAGCAGAGCGTCCAGAGGGCCTTACGAATGATGTTGTTACCCACGTACGGTTTGATTCGAGTTTGGTTTTGGAGCACAGAGGGAAGCGGAGGAGGGGGATACGCCGAAGCACATACGGCAATTGACGAGAAGAAAATGCATAGACGGAGGGAAGGAGGAGGTAGAAGGGAGGGGTAACAGTAATGCGGGGATACGGGATCGACGGGGGGCAATAAGAGATGGGGAAGCCGTATTTGGCTGGCAGTGGGTGAGGAGCGACCGTGGCGGTGTTAGTTGGGTGCAAGGTGAAAGCTAGGGAAAGAAAAGGAAGAAAATGTCATCCATCAAAAAACACATCATCGCCATCATCGTCATCCTCATCATACGGATTAGGGTGCCCCTCTAGCAGGGGAGAGCAGGGACTGCCCGGGAAAGGGGCCGCTGGCGAAGTGAACCACCCTGTAACAACATACATACATACATGATTGCTAGGTTCCCCGGGGCCCCTCCTCTCCCCTTCACTCCACCCCGGCATAAATTTCCCACCACGTAAAAGACACCCCCCCACACACACACACACATACAGCACCTGGAACATGATGCAGAACAAGATGGCGACCTGCCAGGAAACTCTGCGTCCTTCCCCACCGTCCCTCCTCCCGATACACACACACACATATATATACATATATACATATATACATACACGCACCTCCGGCTGCCAATTCAGCTTCGGAGAGCCGTTGTTCTTGTTGCAGTGAGGAGGAGGAGGAGGAGGAGGACAACGCTGCATTGAACTCCCGAATCTTGCGGCCCAGAGCCTGACGAGCAATGAGCGGTTAGTCGTTGGTACGACGGTTGCCATGTGATGGCATCAGACGGGCCGGGATGTGTACGGATATCATATTGTACGGAGAGGTAAGATGCCATTCGAGGGCCTTGCAAGAGACGCCACGCGCGCCACCAAGTGTATACATACATACATACATACATACATACATACATACATACATACATACATACATACATACATACATACATACATACTTACATACACACAAACACGCATAATGGGTAATGGGTGTCCACCTTATATCCAGGAATGCAGCGGGCGCCCCTCCGTGGCTCTTGCTGTTGCCAACGACGATTAAAGATTTTTCAGGCCGACGACGAAGACGACACCACCACCCCTTACATCAACTCCCCACCCCTCCACCCGCCCCTCACCTCACCTCCAAGGAGGGCACATTGTCAAAGGTGAGTACGGTGTGGCAGGGGATGTGCGTGGGGGCGTGCGCTGGGAGGCCGGCGCCTGTGAGTGATGAGAGGAAGGAGGCAAAGGGAAGAGCTTAGTAGTACGGTACAAAGTAATACGGTAAAAAGAGGTACCGTACGACGTCTTCTCGTACATGCGGTACGACGCGCGGGTCCCAACCCCATACACACATCATCTGCCCTTCAGCTTCAATGAAGCCGAGCCACCTTTCTTCCGGCACACCACCCACCGAACATAACATTCCAACTCATTCGCCGATGCACATGCATACATACATACATACATACATACATACATACATACATACATACATGCATACATGCATACATCTGTATGCGCAAATTCACTCTCGCTCGCACTCAAACCTACCTTTGTTGCTGATGCCGCCCCCACTGCCGGTAAACGGATCCACACTCCCGCCCGTGATTGGCAACGATGACGACGAAGGCGCGGCCGCTGCTGCTGCTGCTGCTGTTGCTGCCGCGGCGGCGGTAGTGGACCGCGAGGGCAGCGCCGTGGGGCCCCCCGCTGCCGCTGTTGACCCCCCCGTGAAGGGGTCGCAGAAGCCGCCCGTGATATCCATGGGCTGTGCTCCCGCCGGTGGGCCCCCCGGCCCCCCTTTGGGGGCCTCACCCGTGTTTTGGAGGATGAACTGCACAATCTGCAGTTCGTCCGTCCGTCCGTCCGTCCGTCAGCCAGACATGAGTAGTTAGATCAAGGTTGGTCAATTGAGCAATTTGCAAACAAACGATAGAAAGTCAACATTAGAGATTAGGGAAGGAGAGAAAAAGGTTACAGAAGAGCAGTCGCGTCGTGGATTTGCACGTCGGCAGTTGTTCTTCTCGGTATTGCTACAACATATAAATCCCCTTTCCCCTCCCCTTTCCCTCCCCTTTCCCTCCCCTTTCCCTCCCCTTTCCCCTCCCCTTTCCCCTCCCCTTCCCCTCCCCTTCCCCTCCCCTTT